GCCTGCGTGACATCAGATGGGAACTCCACTGTCATTGCAATGCTTTACACCAACAGGTAAGGTGTCGTTTCTCCCTCACTGCTTTCAAGTCTTTTCTTTGATTTTAGTTCTCAGAGATTTGACTATGATGTGTGTTGGCATGGGTTTCTTTGGGTTAATTCTCTTTGGGATTTACTCAGCATCTCGACTCCATAGGTGTATGTGTTTTTGCAAATTTGGGAGCTTTTTAGCTATTACTTTATTGAATATTTTTTCATCCCTGCTCCATGCCCTCTTTCTCCTCTCCTTCCAGGACAGTGATGACACAAATGATAGATCGTTGCATTATTCCCACAGGTCCCTGAGGCTCTGTTCATTCTTTTTTTTTCTCAATTTTTTTTTTTTTCTGTTTGTCTGACTGGACAATTTTGATTGCTCTACCTTCAAGTTCAAGTTCACTGATTGTTTCCCTTGTTTCCTTCATTCTACTGTTGATATATATATATATATATAATTTATTTATTTATTTATTTGTTGTTGATATTCTCAAATATTATTAAGAAAACTTAAAAGATATTTTTACATTTCATGTTGCTCTTTCTTCCTTTCTGGTGTTCTAAGACCTCGTTATTAATATTTTCCTTCTGTTTGCAGAAATCCCTTTAGACATTATTTTAGGGTACATCTGTTGACAACAAACACTCTCATTTTTTCTGCATCTGGGGATGTCTTCATTTCCCTTTCATGACTGAAGAATGTTCTTGGTGGATATAGTTTTACTGCATTGACAGTTCTTTTCTGCCAGCACTTGAAAAATGCTGCACCTACATTCCGCCTGCGTGACATCAGATGGGAACTCCACTGTCATTGCAATGCTTTACACCAACAGGTAAGGTGTCGTTTCTCCCTCACTGCTTTCAAGTCTTTTCTTTGATTTTAGTTCTCAGAGATTTGACTATGATGTGTGTTGGCATGGGTTTCTTTGGGTTAATTCTCTTTGGGATTTACTCAGCATCTCGACTCCATAGGTGTATGTGTTTTTGCAAATTTGGGAGCTTTTTAGCTGTTACTTTATTGAATATTTTTTCATCCCTGCCCCATGCCCTCTTTCTCCTCTCCTTCCAGGACAGTGATGACACAAATGATAGATCGTTGCATTATTCCCACAGGTCCCTGACGCTCTGTTCATTCTTTTTCTCAATCTATTTTCTTTCTGTTTCTCTGACTGGATAATTTTGTTTGCTCTACCTTCAAGTTCAAGTTCACTGATTGTTTCCCCTGTTCCTTCCATTTCACTGTCAAGCCCACTCATTGAGGTTTTCATTTTTATTAGTACAGTTATTATATTTTCAATTTTAAAATTTTTGTTTAGTTCTTTGTGTCATCTGTTTTTCTTGCTGAAGCTATTATTTTTATTTGTTTCAAGTGTGCTCATGATCATATGTTAAAATATTTTTAAGATCATTGCTTTAATATCTTTGTCAGATAATTCTAACATCTCTTTTATCTCAGTGTTGGCATTCATTAATTTTCTTTTCTCATTCAGATTAAAATTGTCCTGGTTCTATTTTTTTTCTAAGTACTAGACTTTATTTTTACAGTAGTTTTAGGTGTATAGAGAAATTGAACAGAAACCCCAGCGAGTTCCCATTCCCCCACACCCCAGACAATCTCTCCTATTATTAACATGTTATGTTAGTGTGGTACGTTTGTTACAATTATGAACCGTTATTGATTTATCATTATTAACTCAATTTTACACTAGCATTCCTTCTTTGTGTTGTACAGTTCCATGGGTTTCACCAGATACATAATGTCATATATTCACCATTACAGCATCATACAGAATAGTTTTGCAGCCCTAAAAATCCTCCGCGCTCCATCTATTCAACCTTCTCTCCTTGCCTGAAACCCTGGCAATACTGATTTTTTCCCCATTACCTTAATCATTTTAT